GGGGGGTGGTATTCCTGCAATGTGTCAACTGACAATTGTATTATAATGTCTTATAATTGTTTATCTTGAATAAAATCAAACATTCGAGGAACACATCAACGCTCAATATCAAATATTCCAGAAACATGCAATACAACACACATCAACACACACCAATACATAACAACACACACACCAACACACACCAACAACACTCCAACAAGCAACAACACCAACAGCACCCACCAACACACATCAAAGTCAATCTGTTCCAATCAAAGCAGCCTGAAGACTTATCTCTTAAGAACCATCTGAGGGATTTGATTTTTTCACTTCTCATTCTACTAATTCAGCAAAATAAATAATATTCTTTATATAAACGAGCCAAAAAGAGCGACAACAAAGAAAATCAGGAACCAAATTAAACTGAGAAATATACAACAAGCTTCAGAGGGAAGAAATAGAAAAAGGACACCGGTATGATGTAGATGTACAGTAGAAGAGGAGGACACCGGTATGATGTAGATGTACAGTAGAAGAGGAGGAGACCGGTATGATGTAGATGTATAGTAGAAGAGGAGGACACGTGTATGATGTAGATGTACAGTAGAAGAGGGAGGACACCGGTATGGTGTAGATGTACAGTAGAAGAGGGAGGACACCGGTATGATGTAGATGTACAGTAGAAGAGGGAGGACACCGATATGATGTAGATGTACAGTAGAAGAGGAGGACACCGGTATGATGTAGATGTATAATAGAAGAGGGAGGACACCGGTATGATGTAGATGTACAGTAGACATGTGCACTGCCAAAAAATTTGTTTCGTTTTGTTTCGTTTTAAATTCGGATTTGTGTTATTTCGTTTTTCGGGATTCGGGTGTGAAAGTCAATTCAGATTCGGAATTCGGATATTGAACGCTACCGATTTTCGGAAATGGAAATTCGGATTCGTTTGCATTCGTTATGTCTGTAATTCGGAATTCGGATACATCCGAATGTCCGAATTTACGAAAATTCGTCCGAATTTCGATTCGTAACGAAACGCACATGTCTAATGTACAGTAGAAGAGGAGGACACCGGTATGATGTAGATGTATAGAAGAAGAGGAGGACACCGGTATGATGTAGCTGTACAGTAGAAGAGGAGGACCCCGGTATGATGTAGATGTATAGAAGAAGAGGAGGACACCGGTATGATGTAGCTGTACAGTAGAAGAGGAGGACCCCGGTATGATGTAGATGTATAGAAGAAGAGGAGGACACCGGTATGATGTAGCTGTACAGTAGAAGAGGAGGACCCCGGTATGATGTAGATGTATAGAAGAAGAGGAGGACACCGGTATGATGTAGCTGTACAGTAGAAGAGGAGGACCCCGGTATGATGTAGATGTATAGAAGAAGAGGAGGACACCGGTATGATGTAGCTGTACAGTAGAAGAGGAGGACCCCGGTATGATGTAGATGTATAGAAGAAGAGGAGGACACCGGTATGATGTAGCTGTACAGTAGAAGAGGAGGACCCCGGTATGATGTAGATGTATAGAAGAAGAGGAGGACACCGGTATGATGTAGCTGTACAGTAGAAGAGGAGGACCCCGGTATGATGTAGATGTATAGAAGAAGAGGAGGACACCGGTATGATGTAGCTGTACAGTAGAAGAGGAGGACCCCGGTATGATGTAGATGTATAGAAGAAGAGGAGGACACCGGTATGATGTAGCTGTACAGTAGAAGAGGAGGACCCCGGTATGATGTAGATGTATAGAAGAAGAGGAGGACACCGGTATGATGTAGCTGTACAGTAGAAGAGGAGGACCCCGGTATGATGTAGATGTATAGAAGAAGAGGAGGACACCGGTATGATGTAGCTGTACAGTAGAAGAGGAGGACCCCGGTATGATGTAGATGTATAGAAGAAGAGGAGGACACCGGTATGATGTAGCTGTACAGTAGAAGAGGAGGACCCCGGTATGATGTAGATGTATAGAAGAAGAGGAGGACACCGGTATGATGTAGCTGTACAGTAGAAGAGGAGGACCCCGGTATGATGTAGATGTATAGAAGAAGAGGAGGACACCGGTATGATGTAGCTGTACAGTAGAAGAGGAGGACCCCGGTATGATGTAGATGTATAGAAGAAGAGGAGGACACCGGTATGATGTAGCTGTACAGTAGAAGAGGAGGACCCCGGTATGATGTAGATGTATAGAAGAAGAGGAGGACACCGGTATGATGTAGCTGTACAGTAGAAGAGGAGGACCCCGGTATGATGTAGATGTATAGAAGAAGAGGAGGACACCGGTATGATGTAGCTGTACAGTAGAAGAGGAGGACACCGGTATGGTGTAGATGTAGAGGGGAAGATGGTCAATAAGCTAAGGTCAATACATGACACAGCTCCACCTTGATGTGAATGGCAATGCTGTAGCTGGAGTGAATTAGCATAGCAGTGAAGATAGTGTATTAGGTGGGCTGTGCAGGATCTATGGTGAGTTGTGCGGAGTCTGTGGTGGGCTCTTCAGGGTCTCAGGGGGGCTGTGCGGAGTCTGCGGTGGGCTCTACAGGGTTTATGGTGGGCTCTGCTGGGTCTCAGGTTGTGCAGGATCTATGGTCTGCTGTGCAGGGTCTGTGATGGGCTGTGCAGGATCTATGGTGGGCTGTGCAGGGTCTGTGATGGGCTGTGCAGGATGGGCTGTGCAGGATGGGCTGTGCAGGATGGGCTGTGCAGGATGGGCTGTGCAGGGGTCTCAGGTGGGCTGTGAAAGATCTATGGTGGGCTCAGCAGAGCTTTTTTGCAGCCCCCCTGGAGAGTGCCGCCAAAGGCAAGAACCTTGTTTGCTTTGCTGTGGATATGCCCCTGGATGAGCTGAGGAGTGAGGGTGGGGTAAATAGGGGAAGCTGGGGGCCTTTCTGTAAACTTGTTGCTATGCCCCACATGGAAAAGCACAAGTTCATTTGTGTTAAATGCTTAATGGTTGTGATGTTGGGGAGCTCATAGTGCACTCGCACAGAGGGGGGTTTTTGAATGAAACAAAAGCTTTTATTTACCTCTTGCAGGGCAGCTAAAAATGATAAACATAAAATACCCGCTTATTATCAGCTAACTTCAAGTAACAGCCCAAATCTTCAGCACAAATAACAGAACATAAATGTGTCTCACCGACTTGTTGGAAAAAGTCCCAAACCCGGGGGAATCCCTTCCCAGGAATGTAAGTCCTGTCAGCACAGAACAGCACAGAACAGAACAGCACAGCACAGCACAGCACAGCACAGCACAGCACAGCACAGCACAGCAATACAGCAGGCCTCTCTCACAGCCACAGCTGATCACTTCCTTCTCATCGCCCACACTCCTCTCTGGAGTTGTTGACCTTTTCAGCTGCTTCCTGTGTCAAGAAGGTTAACCCTCTGGGGTCCCTTAAAGGGACCAAAGCCCAAATAGTGGCGAAATATAACTGCTTTCCACCACCCAGCCTTGCCGTCCTCTACATGGCTAAGAAACGTCTTAGGGAAACATCAGTTCTGTTTGGACTAATCCTTTCAATGGCATACAGTATATTTTAATGTGTTGCTTGTTCTAAACCCAGCCCCATGTTTACCTCCCCCTAAAGAACCACTGCTGATGTCTTTATTTGTTAAAAAATATTTTGCCTTCATACTTTTTGCATGGGTCTTTGGTTCAGTCGTGTGACATCACAGGTCCTCTTTCTCCCCTTCTTTCTCCAGTTGGGGTACTTATTGCTGCAGATAACAGCTGAATACCAATACATGACATCATTCTCTGTAGAATTATCCCATGAGCCCACAGCGGCATGATAATGTACCCCCCAGGGGCCATGTCCATGATGTCCTGAGCTCACAGGAAGTGCTTGGCATCATTCAACCCAGGAGAAGGCCGGTGCTGGACCTTGGAGCAGGGTGGAGGACTTTGTGGGAAAGGGGTACCAGGGAAAGTTGCTTTTTTATTATAATAACTTCGGCCAATTGATACTTTCTTTTTATTACAATCTAGATTTGGAATTTAAGGTATTAAAGCGGTTTTGTAGCCATCACAATGTAAACGTTGAATCCCAAATAAAAGACCTTCTCGAAGAAGATGGTGGTCAGGGGAGAAAAGTCCTATCATGAGCCTAATGTGTTCCCTTCCTGTTGCAGGACAAGATGCAGGTTTTGTGACCCAATACAAGACATGACGGAGACCAGCAACACGTCATGCAGCAATATCACTGAATTTACCCTGAGCGGTATACCCAGCCTGGAGAACTATCATTTCTGGTTTGGTTTTCTCATCGCAGTAATGTATGTGGTGGCTGTCCTGGGAAATTCCACTGTTCTGTATATCATTAAGGTGGACCAAGAGCTTCACGAACCCATGTACATCTTTCTGTTTCTGCTCGCAAGTGTGGAACTCCTAATGGCCACCACAGTCATGCCTCAGATGTTGGGGGTCTTCTGGTTTCACCAGCAGCAGATCACCTTCAACCTGTGTCTGACCCAGATGTTCTTCATACATTTTCTATCTGCCCTGGAGTCCGGGGTACTGGTGGCCATGGCTGTAGACCGATATGTGGCCATTTGCCACCCTCTTCGATATTCTTCCATCTTAACCTACCGGAACATTGCAAAGATCTCCTTGGTCATAATAGTAAGAGGGGCAGCTGGGATGACCCCTCTCCCATTGCTTATTAAGAGGCTTTCGGTGTTTCAGAGAAATACTTTGACACATTCCTACTGCCTCCACCAAGAGGTCATGAAGCTGGCCTGTGTGGATATAAAGGTCAACGTCATCTACGGCCTGTTTATCATCCTCTATACCATGGGAATCGACGCTGTGTTCATCTCCATCTCGTACCTGCTGATCATAAAGACGGTGGTGTGTCTGCTGGCCGAGGCCAGTTTGAAGGCCATCAGTACGTGTGCCGCCCACATCTGTATCGTCCTGGTCTACTACATCCCCCTCATCGGCCTTTCTGTGGTGCACCGATATCCAAATGTCTCAGTCCCCAACCTTCACATTTTGTTTGGGAATATTTACCTCCTTCTGCCCCCTGTGATTAACCCCTTAATTTATGGCTTCAAAACCAAGCAGATTCGGAATAGACTTAGTAAACTGCTCAGTAAATTGATAAGTCGAAGTAAGACTTCTTAAGGTTTATGACCCATGACAGACACACAACAATATCAGGACATACGGGCTTTAGTGACTTAGTCCTAGTTGTTTTAACACCTGGGGGTGATTTATAAACCATTCGCACAGAAAACAGCTATGAAAACACGGCTCGCAGCACGTTGTTGCCAATAGGTGGAGCCCAGGACCATAGGAATGTCTTATGTTCCTCAGGGCTCCATCTAGTGACCGTGATGTGATGTGACTCTTGTTCACATTGCTGTTCGCTGTGTGAATGGGTTTATAAATCACTCCTTATATTTTTCAGTGGGAAAGGATTAGACCCTTTGTTAAGATTTCATTGGTTATCATACCAATACTCATAATATACCAATAATCAACACCTAAGAGTCCAAATAAACCAGTGTAAGGTGATTGTAGCCGTATTCAGGGCTGGATTTCCCACAAGGTCAACCGAGGCCCGGCCTTGGGACAGCAGGGAGTAGAGGGGCAGCAGTGGTGAATTCCTCTCCACCGATGCCTGGGACATGCAGCTCCGGGCGCCGGGCGGGTAGTTGTTTTCTACATTTAGCCCGGCTTTGGGCAAGCAGAGCTAAATGTAGAGCGGGAAAGCCACCAAGATCACTTGTACGGAGCCTGCAGGTCTGCCATTCTCCATGGGGGAATAGGGGGGGGTTTGCAGGGGGGTTGGCAGGTTGGGAATAGGGGGCGCATTGAGGAACCTGACCTTAGGCAGCAGAGAGAGTGAATCTGGCCCTGGCTGTATTAGTGCACTTTTCGTGTTGAGTATTGTGATACGTTTTTTATTTGCACTTTTACAGTTCCATTTTCAGGAAAGTTCCCAACTGTACTCAACTAAACCGGCAATTTGAGGCCTGATGAAGGGGGATCCCTATACCCCCCATGTATGTCAGCTTTGTTACCTTTGGACTTCTTTGATAAAATAAACATATTTAACCTTTGATGTGACTCTCCTCTTCTCCTCGGACCTTCCATCGTTCACCCGAGACATGTTTTGAGGCCCCTTTGTGTTCGCGAGCTGCCTAACCAGCGTCATTGTACTTCACAGTGTGGGCTTATCTTCACAATGAGGAACCATTTTTTTTCTGATCCAGCTCCTACACCTTCTGAAGTTTTTATTGCTTTCTCTGGGCCCACTGGGGGGGGGAGGAGTCACCTTCTCGATTTGTCCTGACCACCATTATCTCTGGTACAGAAAGTGATGGGAATACAACATTTTAGGGGTCTATTCACAAAGCTGTCAAAGGATCCAGCTGTAGCTTCGGCTGCTCCTTCAGCTAACTTCGGTTGCGGGAGCCCTTAGGTTCAGTCGAACTGAAGGGCTGCTGTACGGGATATTCACAGCACCTGAAGGCAGACGGGCGGCTCAGCCGAACTGACGGCCGAAGCAGGGAGAATGGCCGTGTGCCTCGCAAATGACAGCTGGGCGGAGCCAGCCATGATATCATGGCTGGCTCCACCCAGTTGTAGTGACAGATCAGCGTCCACAAATGACCTGGGCATGCTGAACTGTCATTAAACAATAACAACTGGGTGGAGATGGCCGTGACGTCCGCGCAGTTGTTATTCATTGGCCGGGACCTGCTAGCAAGACTCTAGCACCTGCCGGCCAATAGGAAACAGTTATTTTTTAAAACATTTTAAATTTCTTTTTTTTTCTTTTTCAAAAAATCTTTCTTTTTTTGTATTTAATATTTGCATTAAGAAGGGAATGTCTTACAGGGACAAGTCTATAATTTTTCCTCTTTACAGATCACTGGTTCGGCCACATCTGGAGTACGCGGTCCAGTTCTGGTCACCGGTACTCAGAAAAGATGTCCTTGAGCTGGAAAAAGTCCAGAGGAGGGCAACCAAACTCATTAGGGGTATGGAGGACCAGAACTATGAAACAAGGTTGTTAAATTTAAATATGTTCTCGTTGGAGGTGAGGAGATTAAGGGGGGACATGATTTTCCTGTATAAACTATTCAAGGGTGACAGCAACCTTAGTAACAAACTGTTTACGGTCAGCTAACAAAGACCAGAGGGCACAACCAAAAACTGGTGGAGAAGAAATTCCAGCACACTGGGCGAAGGGGGTTCTTCACAGTCAGAGCGGTTAGGGTCACTCACTGCCACAGGAAGTGATTTCAGCTAAGAGTGTGGAATCATTCAAGAGACTCCTGGACGAGTTCCTTGAAGACCATAACATACAGGGGTACAGGTAACATACAGGGGTACAGGTAACATACAGGGGTACAGGTAATATACAGGGGTACAGGTAACATACAGGGGTACAGGTAATATACAGGGGTACAGGTAATATACAGGGGTACGGGTAACATACAGGGGTACGGGTAATATACAGGGGTACAGGCAATATACAGGGGTACAGGTAATATACAGGGGACAGGTAACATACAGGGGTACAGGTAACATATAGGGGTACAGGTAATATACAAGGGAACAGGTAATATACAGGGGTACGGGTAATATACAGGGGAACAGGTAACATACAGGGGTACAGGTAATATACAGGGGGCAGGTAACATACAGGGGTACAGGTAACATATAGGGGTACAGGTAATATACAGGGGTACAGGTACTCCTAAGAATGAGATCCTATAGGTTGGACTTGATGGACTAATGTCTTTATTCAACCTCAAATACTATGTAACTATGTAACTATGTAACTGTGTATTTACATTTAAAAAAATATTTTTGCAACTTTTTTTTCCTACTTTTTTCACTCTTTTCTATTCTGCTCGGCAACACGGAGATACCGAGCAGAATGACGGTCAGTCATTTTGGTGTCACCCCCCCAATGGTGCAGAAAATTCTGGACACCGGCACACCAAAAGCAGATAGAATACGTCTATTTATTCGACGTACATGCAAAAAGGTAGCATAGCACACTTAGTGCGACGTTTCGGGGTCACACAGTATCCCCTTCATCAGGCATAACAAGTGCCCCCAATGGTGGCACCCGGGTACGGGCTGCAGCCCGCGCCCCCCTTGTGATGCCACTGACTTGAACCTCAATTGCAAAGGAGCCACATGCTATGTCTAAGTGCTCAGCCAGCATATCTCTGTGAGAGAGGACCCCAGAGAGTTTAGAAAGATGTATAGAAGACCTCCAGGTATCCTGAGCTTCCTCCACCCTCCTCCCGATCCTCCATACAGTGGTACAATAAATCTGTTCAGGTTTAACGTGACTGGCACCCGTCTTTCTTTCATAGTGAGAAAAGAATCATTCCCTGAGATGAGCGTGCCCAGCGACCTTATTGCCAAGTAAGCGGGCTTCGGACATTCACTGCTGGTCATCTGCTCACAGGGTACAGAGCCACTCCGATCAGCTCTGTACATTGCGTCTGTGATCTGAGCCGGTCCATTGACAACTCAGATCTCAGCCATTAATCGGTGCAAAGGCCTCTTCAGCTTGAGGGATGTTCAGTATAATTCCATTATTTAAACACAAATATAAGAGGAGGGACATGAAATTCTTTTCTCTGGGTGACTGTAGAGACTGAGGGGGCAGTAGAGGCTCTAGAGACCATCAAACTTCATAATGAAGGGACTTTTATCCAGCTAGGAGCAGAGTGACAACAACTGGCTGAGCTCCCCCGGGATCCCGACATTCCGTATAAATGTTCCATCGCCGAGGAGTTCTCAGACCAGCTGGAGAAACAGAGGAGAGACTGCACTGACACCACCGAGAGATACCTGACACAGGTGAGAGGACACAGGGCAAAGGTGAGGGGGGGGGGGGGGGGGGAGTGGATTTCG